TCCTCGCAGGTCTTGGCCCTGGGTGGGGACGCTGGGTCACGGCCATGACGGGCAACCAGAGCCTCACGCTCCCCTCCCCGCACCCACCCGGACATCCCCCAGGGCAGGACCTGGGCAGCCTGGGAGGGGACCCCAACGCCAGCCCCAGAAAGCCGGTTGCATCCCTGTCCCCAGCTCAACTCACGAGGAATAGTTGGGCAAGAAGAAGGTGCAAGAGCACGTGGAGGCCTGTGGCATCAGGTCCAATGCGTCCAAGCTTGGGAAAAGGGAGGAAGAGTTGGACCCTGGCACGGTGCAGGGACCCCAGCACGGTGCAGGGACCCCAGCCTGGGCAGGACAGACTCACTTTCCCCTTTCTGGGTAGACAGTGATCTGAACTGGGAGTCGGCTCCGGCCAGTGACGAACTTGAGGAAGCGGCTGAGATCCTCTGAGGAGAAGGACAGGGCTCAAGTCCCAGGAACAGGGACAGGACCACCCCAGTTGCTGCCATCGTGGCAAGGTCTGCCCTTGCAGAAGCATCCCAGGAGCACGGGGCAAAGCTAAAGGATGCTCTCAGCATCCTGGGAAGGGCCAGGTAGGATGACCCCAGCCAACTCCCAGGGAGTGAGCATCCCTGGGGTGCAGAGCAGTGGTACCCCATGCCCTGGCCCAGCCTGTGACACCTGAAGAGCAGGGAAAGGCTTGGGGTCGCTCACCGCTGGTGAAGTTGTTGAGTGCCTCCAAGAATTTCTGGACACGGGTGTCATCAGAGGGAAAGTCCTCAAATGTGACTGTGATGGAAGAACACGCAACAGCTTCATTAGAAACTTCCAGTAAAGCAAATTAACATGGGATGTGTCCATCCTGCCCTTCTGTAGGGGCCCAGAATGGAGGCAGGAGAGGAGGAGACCCTCTGCTCTCAGTGAGCCCCAGGGACCCCTGAGCAGGGCTGGCACCCTGTGCAAAGGTGGTGGAGAAATGGGAGTCCAAGTTTGCAGGGTGGCCATTTGCCTCTGCCCATAGTGGCTGAGGACCAGATGGACCAGAGTGAGGATCAGTGGGGTTTGCAGTTAAACCTGAAACATCCTTATCCAGGGTCCCTCTGGCTTGTCCACCCCATGACCAGCGACTCAGCATGGAGCAGGATGCGTGCACAGGACAAGCAACATCAAGGGGGGTCCCTGCCCATGCAGGGAGCTGGGAGCAGCTCTGGGCTGGCGCTGGCACTTACTGAACCTCCGCAGTTCAGCCATCGTGATCTCAGGGTCCCCACAGATCTTCTTCTCCAGCTGCTGCCAGGTGAGCAGGTCCAGCACAGGCTGGGGCACCACGCGGAGCAGCCCAGCACGGATGGCTGCGATCTGGAGGGGGCATAGGAGAGGTCCCACATCACTGCGATGGGTCTGACCCCAGGGCAGCCAGCCAGGGCACTGGGGACAGGGACCACAGGACCCCAGAGGGGGTCGCCGGGGCTCATGGACATCCTGGCCATGGCATGCACGGAGGAACTGCCCAGCTGGAGCTGGTTTTGGGGAGATGTTTTTGCCCCAGAGGTACCAGGAGGGCTTGCCACTGGAGCAGGGTCCCCTCACAGCCACACTGGCCCTGTGGGACAGTGTTACCTGCTCCTTGCTCTCCTCCAGCCGAGCCTTCTGCACCAGACGGATGAACTCCCTGCGGTCCTCGTAGCGCACCACGGTGTTGCTGCCATTGGGGATCAGCTCCACCACGCGCTGGTCACTCAGCACCGTCGAGTAGGTCAGCTCTCTGCCAAACATGAACTCAAAGGCTTCCCTGTCCACCCCCTCCAGCATCTCCAGCAGCTTCACCTGCAACCCAAATGAGCAAAAGACATCAGGGTGGAGCCAGAGCAGCCACAGGAGCACACGGACAGCCCTGTTGGCCCCCAGCCCCGCTCACCAGCTCTGAGTCCACGGCAGCAAAGTCCTTGCTCCAGCTGACCTCCTCCCCGGCCAGCTGCTTCCACACCAGAGCCGGCAGAGACAGGATCTGCCGGAGGAAGTGGAGACATGCATCCTCCCCCTGTCCCTCCTTCACCTGAGGGCAGCCCCTCTCCCCAAGACATAGTGGCCCCTGACAAGCCCCCTCACTGGCCGGGGAGGCTCTGCCGTGCTCACCAGAAACTCTTTGCTCCTCAGGGCTGCTCCCATCAGCTGCCCAATCCACTCGTACTTGGGGAAGTCCTTGCAGGAGGGGTTGGGGACGTACATGTCCCTGGTGTCACTGCTACTGTTACCCTGCAGGAGAGAGGCTTAGGACCCACGGATGCAGATGCAACCAGCCCGGTGCAGTCCCTCCCTGCAGCCTCCCTCTCCATCACCCCTCTGCCTGCGTCTCCTCCCTTTACACCCCTCCAGGAGACCCCCACCACCCAGGGACAAGCACAGTACCCCCAGCTAATAGCTCTGCAAGCGTTAAGACAGGACTAGCCCCAAAAGGTCCCAGGCTCTGTCCCAGGACAGGCAGACAGTGGGGTGACAAACCTGGTTGGAGGTGCGCACAAAGAAGGGCAGGGGCACGGGGACATCACCCGAGCTGGGGCACAGCTCCTCTGACACATCCGACAGGCTGTCCCGAAAACCGCCGCCTGCAGTGGGCGCAGAGGCTGGTTAATGCCTGACATGGCCGGGGCCAGACGCTGAGCCGCAGGATCTGGCCAAGCCACCCCCTCTCCATGGAGCAGTGCTGGGGGCCTGAGGGAGATGCAGGGACCACCCCAAGGGTGCAGAGCAGGGCTGTCTCCCACACAGCAGCCAGGACAGCGTGGGCACCCCGCCACAGTGGCCGATGCACCAAGCTGCCTAGGGCAGAGCCCTGGGGAGGGAGGGGAGAGCTCTCACCATTGTCGATGATGCCCTCGGTGATGAACTCACACTCCCACCACTGGCTGTAGCTCAGGGGCCACCTGTGGAGAAGCAACAG